CGCCGGGCCGGGTCCTCGCCCCTGCCACCTCCGGACCGGGCGGGCTGACAGGCTGAGCGAGACCTGGCCGGCCTCGGAATTTAATCGCTCGCCAGGGAATCAGGAGTCCCGGCTACCAGTCTGGCATGCCAATAGGTTGCTGCGTGACCTTGGGCAAAATCCCTGTTTTTTTGCAAGAGAATATTGAGCAAGATCAAGAGTCACAACCCCAGCTGCAGTGAGGACCCCAGGCACTGTGGAGAGCCACAGAGGGTGCGGGCCCGAGACCAGCCCCAGTGTTTGAGAACATGCCTGGGCTGCCAGAGCCGAGGATTTTTCCAGAGAAACTGGAAATCCGGATTTTTAGGTGAAATCTCTGAATGTGTTATTGTTGGTAACTAACTCCAATTTAAAAAAAAAAGGAAAGAAAAACCCTATGTAGGCCACACAAAGCCCTTTCGAGAGCCGTCTAATGCAGGATCTAAGGCCATGAGCCCCTTTGGGCCCCCTGTCCCTGTATTTCCGGTGAAGGGACTGAGACTCAGAAAAGGGAAGTGTCCCACCACCTGCCCAAGTTACTGGCAGCTTCAAGTCTAGACCATGCCTGGGGGGCTGTGGTGAGAGGTGGGGGGTTTGGGGCCTCACCCTCAGTGGGTGGGGCCTGGGCTGCAGCTGACAGTGGCCCTTGGCTGGGCAGGAGGGGCGGATGCTGGGGCTGGACCAGCCTAGAAAAATCCCCTGCTTTGGAAGATTCCAGGAAAATGTCCTGCCCTCCTCCCCCTCCATGCTTGTGGCTAGCGTCATGCCTCTGAGCCTCTGGGGGCCCAGCCCAGCTCCCGACTTACAGAGGCCGCAGGGGGCCTGCCACCTCTCTAGCCCAGCCTGCAGCCAGGGCCCAGGCAGGACCATCTCTAATCTCGGGGGGCCTGGAGGCTAGACCACACCAGCTGGGGGTTGGGTTGTCTCTGGCGGATTCTCCTGCAGAAGGCAGGCTGGCCTCTGTGTCCAGTTGTTGTCGGGCTGGGCAGGGTGTCCTCCACTCTCCAGCTGGACAGTCACCTTCTAGACTTCCCCTCTCGGTTCCTTAGTGTGCTCAGGGCCCTCCCCGCTTCAGGGTCCCTTCCAGGACAGGCGGGAGCCCACAGCCCACAGGCCTGCCCCCATCCGTGTCTCAGTGAATGTGGATGTAGGGCAGGGCCGGCCAACCAGCTGCTCCTGAGCCAGAGCTGGCCCTCAGGTGTTTCACTTGGGCTACATGGGAGTTTAAAATGTTTCGGAACAGTTGCAGATATTTAAAAATCAAGAGGTTTCACTTAAAAAGGGAATTCCCAGCTTGTCTTGACCAGGAACACTTGGCTGGTGCTGAGTTGCTGATGCCTCCTCCAGCCAAGGCTCAGGCTCTCCAGGTCGCCCCAGTCCCCACTACTCCTGTCACCGCACACCAGGCTGCTTCACTCAGCTGCCTTTCCTGCCTGGCCTGGGAAGCATTTGAGTTTGCAGTCAATGCTTTGTGGGTTTTGGTCTGATCGTCCCTATGCCTCTGCCCTTGGGCTGTGTGTCCCCTGAGACCTTCAAAAGGGTGCACAGATAGGGGGGCCCCCGAGGACTGCCAGACCGATTTTCCCAAGGAACAGACATTCCTGACTGGGCCTCAGCAGCCTCCCATTTCCACGGCCAGTTCTCACTGATGGAGAGACCTTTTCTGGAGCCCAGATCCCACCCCATGCCCTCATCCTGTGCCCTGGTCTTTTTCAGGCCGTGCTTCCCCCCGCCCAGAGGTTCAAGGGCAGCCTCCCTGGAGACCCCCTCTTCAGTTTCTCCAGCCTCCGCTCTGTGGTTTCTAGACACTTGTTTCCTTAGAAGCTGGTTACCTGGAACCTCCTTGAGGGAGGGAGTGTGGAGCGGGGCTTGACTGGGTGGCAGGGACAGACCCAAGAGACCTGGACCACCTCAGACCAGCGGCAATGCTGGGATGTCTAAGTTGGTGGGCCTGAGGGGGAGACATGGGCTGGAGGTGGGCCCAGGGAGGAGATTTGAAACAGCTTTTCATAGCAAGCACACCATTTGCAGGAGTATCGGGAGAGGTGTGGGGATTATCAAGGCTAACTCACCCCCACCCCCACCGCCACCCCTGGAGTCCTGGAGTCCTGGGCGGCACAAAGGTTAAGCAGTTGACTACTAGACAAAAGACCAGTGGTTTGAACCCACCCAGAGGCACCTTGGAAGAAAGGCCTGGCAATCTGCTTCCAAAAGGTCACAGACTTGAAAACTGTATGGAGTAGTTCTACTTTGCACACGTGGAGTCCCCATGACTTGGAATTGGCTCTATGACCACTGACAACAGTAAACCCCCATGTGAGCCCCTTGGTACCGCCATTGTCCTGTATCTTCCAGTATCTGGGCCAGGGGGTGGGGGCATAGCTGAGCTCTGGACTGTCCATGATTTTGGTCTGGGGCTAGACCCCTGGGTCAGAGCCATCCCAGGTGACAGGCCCAGATGCCACCCTCCAATTGCACCATGTAGCAGGCGTGGTGCCGGTGCCTGTGCCGTGCCCACCACCTCTGGCCCCTTGCCAGGCCTGGGTTCCTGCTCCACATTCAGGATCCAGGCCTGGCTGGCTCTCTTTACAAGGCCTGGGGGTCAGGCCCGTGCCAGCTGCTGGCCAGCCCTTGGGGCCAGATGCCCTGACCCCATTCCCCAGCCTGTGCCATGGCGGGCAGGATGCTCCTGCCTGGCGGAGTTCCCCAGGTGGCTCTGCCCAGGGCCAGGAAGACTGGCCTGACCTGTTGGAGGAGCTAGCCCTGCCCTCCGTGACTTCCTGCCCCCGCGCACCCAGCACCTGAGTCAGTGGACCGGCGGGAGCTGACAGGTGGGGGCAGGGGAGCCTAGGCCAGTCCCTTCCAGATGTAGGTTTAGAGCACAGGTGAGCCCTCAGTGCCAAGATGGGACACGCAGGCCTGCTCCCAGGTCTTGCCATGGCCGGGAGGGGTGACAGGAGCCTCCCCAGCCCACTTGCCTCTCAGCCTCTGCCCTGAGCCCCATGTTACCTCTTGCACCCACTGCCCCCTCTACCAGCCCATCGCCACATAGCAGCCAGGTTGGTCTCTGCTCAGCACAAGTCCAATCCTATCCTCTTCTGCTTGAAATGCATCATCAGCTTTTTGTTGCTCACATTATGGAGGCAGAACTCCTCTCCCAGTGCACCAGGCCCTGTGCCGTCTGGCCTCTGCCCACCCCATCCCGAGCGCCCCACCCTCATTGTCCAAGTCGGCCAGCCATGTTTTCTCCCCGTTCCTCCAAAAGGCTGTGCACCCACCTGCCACAGGGCCTTTGCACACACCGCTCTTTCTGTCTGGAACTCTCTCCCCTTGACGTGATTGATTCCTTTGTGACCTTCAGATCACAAGGAGGCTCCCCTCCTCCGCTGTGACCCAGCCGTGATCAGGGCCCCTTCCTGTATGTCCTGAAGACCTTTCCTTTCCTTCCTGTGGTACGTGTGTTTATCTGTGGGATTGTGTGGGCGTTGTCTGCCCCTTGTACCAGCTTGTGAGCTGCCTGAGGACGGGTGGCTGTCTTTCACTTACCTCTGGTCACACCTGCTGGTCAACCCAAGGGCCTGGCCCAGACCAGCTCATCAAGGGAATGAATGATCACACATGAATGAATGAGTGAAAGCCCCATTGAGGTTGCTGAAGGGGAGCAGCCAGCCTTGGTGTGGGGGCACCCCACGTCATACACCTCCTTTGTCCTCCACCCCTGCAGTGGGCAGATCAGGTCAGGGAGGGCACTGCGAGTCTGGCTCACCCTGCTGGCCTGAGGTAATTAGGGGCCTGTTTTACTCACAGGTGGCCTGCCCAAGGCACGCCAGGAAGTCATGGAGACACGGGGTCCCCACCCAGCTTCTAGCACACTTTGGCTCCTGGCAGAGTGAGGGGCAGCAGTCAGGCTGTGGGCAGCTGGCCAGGAGGGGGGCCGGGGGTAGGGACTGGCCCTTTGTTGCCTGGGTGAGGGAGAGAGGCAGCTGCCACAGCTGGATGACCTCTGACCCCTGGAACCACAGTGGGGACAGCGTTCTATTTGAGGGAGAGTGTCGGGGTTGGGTGGGGGGATGGGTCCAAGCCTGCAGGTTCCCAGGGTCATGAAGCCAAGACCAGGAGCAAGAAACAGAATCGGGAAAAGGCACCTGTGAGTGCCCCCGTGGACCAGGGGGCTGTGCTCATGGGCCAGGGGCTGTCAGGGGCCTTGGCAGGACCCGGGGAGGGGTCTTGGAGAACCCTGTCTGTGCCGGGCACTTGGCCCGGGCTGAGACTAGCAGGGGCTCTGGGAGCTTCCAGCCTGTCTCCTCACATCCCCAGCAGCCACCCCCTCCTGCCATGACCCCCCCAGCCTGGGGACCAGAAAAGGGGCAGGAGAATCCTGCCCCCTGCCGGCTGGGGCAGCCGGGGAAGCACCACACCTGAAGAAGCTCTCTCTCCCAGGGCATTTGACTCAGGTGGGCCCAGGGCTCAAAGTCAGGGAGTCAGGGGATCTGAGCACCTAAGATGTCAGCAAGCCCTGAGGGGCTGGCTGAGCTGATGATCCAGACCACGGTGGGTGAATGTGTAGTTCCAGGCCTCCCACAGACAGGTAGCCCTGGGGGAGGGGAAATCCCTGGTTCTAGCTTGCACCCCCCCTCAGGTAACTGATGTCTGAGCAGGAGGAGGGGAGCCTGTGGGGGCCTGGGACAGAGGTGCAGATGGAAGGGCAGGGATGCTGTGCCCAGGGCCCAGCACAGGCAGGCAGCCCAGGAGGGGGCTGAGAAAGAAGGGCCAGGAGTGGGGTGTGTTTGGTGTGTTAGGGCTCAGGAGAGGAGGCCAGGGCCCTAAGGGACCAGGCTGTGTATGGCTGGTGGGCCACAGCTCCTGCTCACAGTGGTGCCTGCCCTGAGCCTGTATCTGGGGTTGGAGCTCTCGGGCCTCCTGCAGCCCCTCCCCCACAGGCACCTGCAGCATCCATCTGCTAACCGTCCTGTCTCCCCCAGGTCCCTGATGCCCCTGCTGGATCCAGACTCTGGGCTTCTTATCCTGGCAGGAAAGGTGAGTGAAAAGCTGGAGCCCCTACCCTACCCCAGGGCCCAGAGTCCAGCCCCAGCCTTCCATCCAGCCAGGCAGCTGGGAAGTAGTGAGCAGAGAGGCTGACCACCTCTGAGAGAGGAGGGGTGCCCATCTCCTGCAGGGCAGGGTGTTGGGGTGTCCACATCGTCTTCATCCCTGCAGTCAGGGTGACCAGAACTCCCTTAGCTTCATGAGGACAAGGCAAAAACTAGAGCTGTGTAGAGCACACAGTAGGTACTCAGTAAATTCTGAGTGTATATTCCTGGGACAGCGAGGTCAGGCCTATAAAGGGCTCAGCCCAAGGTGGCGCATAGTGAGGGCTCGGTAAATGCCTGCTGTGGTTCTGGCTCGGGTCCTTGGGGGCAGCGTGGGGAGCCCGTGCTAGACCCAGGCCCACTCCAGGCCACTGAGTGTGGTCCATGGGTGGAACTCAGGTCAGGTTTGTTCCAGGGTGAGAGTCAGCTGTTTTGCTACGAGGTGGCCACGCTGCAGCCGGCACTGAGCCCAGGTAAGCCCCTGCCCTCCTCCTTCCCACTCCCCCCTCCCCTTCCCTGCCCCCTGACTGTCGTCCTGTGGTGTCCCCCCGCTCAGTGAACCAGTGCATCCTGGAGAGCACCCTGCGGGGGGCAGCCCTTGTGCCCCGGCGCGCACTGGCTGTCCTCAACTGCGAGGTGCTCCGTGTCCTGCAGCTGAGCGACACGGCCATCATGCCCATCAGCTACCGTGTGCCCCGCAAGGTGAGGGGGGCCTGGGCGATGGTGAGGGGTGCCTGGAGGGCCCAGGGCCTCACTCACCACCTCCCCATCATCCGTCCACCAGGCTGTGGAGTTCCATGAGGACCTGTTCCCAGACACCACAGGCTGCGTGCCTGCCTCTGAGCCCCAGGCCTGGTGGGCTGGGAGCAACCAGCAGGTAGGACCCAGCCTCCTCACCGCTCCCACAGGCAGCAGTCCCCAGAGACTCCCTGACAGACAGTGTGGCCCATGTCCCGGACTGCCCTGGCCCCTGAGCCGTCCACGACACCCGATGGCCGTCCTCTTCCCACAGGTACAGAGGGTCAGCCTCAACCCAGCCCGCCGGCCCCACAACAGCTTCACGTCCCCTCTGCTGCCCCCCATGGAGCTGCCCCCTGTCCCTGCACAGCTGGTGGAGATGCTGGTGGAAGACACAGACCCCAGTGTAAGTGCCAGGCCAGCCCCAGGAGCATGGGGACCCCTGTCTGGACGTTACAGGGGTCCCTCCCACCATTGACACCCCCAAGGGTGCCCAAGCCAAGGCCTGCTCACTGGTCTTTAACTTTGTGGTTGTCACGTATGACGTGCAGAGAGAAACACACTTGGTATAAAGAAAGGACTGAGTGGTGTTTTTTAATTGAGCGAACGTTTACAAAGTGGGGGTTTTGCACAAAAATCTGGATTTCTGGCTTCTCTTGAAATACTGGAAGATCTTGGCCGGCCTCCCACAGAGCTGGAGCCAGCAGCTGCCCCTCGTAGCCCCTGAGTCTTCACTCAGCTTGCTGCCTTTGTTTAGGTACCGCTGGCCCCTATCAGCATTTTGGTTGCACCCCAGCCCCCCTCCTGCCCCTGCCCCATGCCCCACGGCGGGTCACACCTGCCTGAGGGCCCTGCAGCCCGGGCAGGGCCCAGAGTGGCGACCCCGGATGCCTGGACGCCTCGCTGACCCTGTGCTGCTCCCCAGGAGGGCTTCTCCTCCCCGCCCAGCTCGCTGGCCTCACCCTCCACACCCTCCAGCCTGGGCCCCTCACGCTCCAGCACCAGCGGCATTGGCACCAGCCCCAGCCAGAGGTCACTGCAGAGCCTGCTGGGTAAGTGGGCGGAACTGACCCTTCCATGGGACCCTCTTCTAACCCCCACCCAACCGGTCCTCCCTGCTTCTCTGCACCTCCAGACCCACCTCCCCCACTTCCACCTCCCCCACCCCTGCCTCCCCAGCCCACCTCCTCCATCCGTGCCTCCCCAGCCCGCCTCCCCCACCCTTGCCTTCCCCACCCCTGCCTCACGCAAGTAGTCAGGAATGACCCCTGTGAGGGTAAAGTCAGGATGGTAGGTCTTACCTAGAAAGCAAGAGAGTCTAACCCAGTGGTTTCCATACTGTGTCCTCTGGCACCCTGGGGTTCCATCAAGATACTGCAGGGCCACAGAGGGGCAAGGGTCTTCGCCAGTGGGTCCCACTCCGGTGTGCACTGTGTTCACGCAGTCGGCAGAGGGCTGGGCACACACCCAGGCGCCTCTACACAACAAGGGCAGTGAGACTCAGCCTGGGCTCTTCCAGCAGGGCCGGCGGGCATCCTCATGCGTGGCCATGTCCCTGCCGCCCGCCAGGTCCCAGCTCCAAGTTCCGCCATGCCCAGGGCACCGTCCTGCACCGAGACAGCCACATCACCAACCTCAAGGGGCTCAACCTCACCACGCCCGGCGAGAGCGATGGCTTCTGTGCCAACCGACTGCGTGTGGCAGTGCCCCTGCTCAGCAGCGGTGGGCAGGTGGCTGTGCTTGAGGTGAGGGCCTGCAGGCGGCAGCCAGGTCACCCAGGGCATTGGGACTCACACCGGCTCGCACTCACCGAGTGCCCACCATGTGCCAGGCACCCGCCCAGCCTCCCCATGCGGTGGGTGCCACTCTGATCCCCATTTTACAGATGAGGGCATTGAGGCACAGAGAGGCTTAGTGACATGCCCAAGGTCACACAGCTGTGTAAGTGGTGGAGCTGGGAGTCAGACCCAGGCCCTCGACAGGCCTGAGCTCTTTCTGCCATTCCACACTGCCCTGCCCCCACTTCCGGGGCCTCACAGTTGGCACCTGGGGCTCAGAGCACAAGGTGGCTGAGGCAGGGAGCTTGGGCCACTCAGCGGTGGGGACATCGGCTGCAGGGGTGCCCAGGCATGTCACTTCCCCTGCAGCCCCAGGCCCAGGGGACAGGGTGCTCCTGCCTGGTACTGACAGGCCATGGCGGGGCACTTCCCACAGCTGCGGAAACCTGGCCGCCTGCCCGACTCCGCACTGCCCACGCTGCAGAATGGGGCGGCCGTGACCGACCTTGCCTGGGATCCCTTTGACCCGCATCGCCTCGCTGTGGGTAAGGAGGTGGGCATGGGGCATGTGGAGGGTCGCAGGCCCTGAACAGGGGTGGGGGCAGCTGGGGGTCTCGAGCCCAGCAGTGCTGACCACCTTCCTCTGCAGCCGGGGAGGATGCCAGGATCCGACTGTGGCGGGTGCCCCCAGAGGGCCTGGAGGAGGTGCTCACCACGCCCGAGGCCACGCTCACAGGTCAGGCAGGGCCAGGGAGGATGAGGTGCAGGCAGGGACTCCTTAGGGGCTCAGTGTCATGCCTTGCCTCCCCTCAGGCCACAGGGAGAAAATCTACTCCCTGCGCTTCCACCCGCTGGCAGCCGATGTGCTGGCCTCCTCTTCCTATGACCTCACCATTTGCATCTGGGACCTACAGGCCGGAGCTGAGCGGCTGAGGCTGCAGGGCCACCGGGAACAGGTAGGACAGCTGCAGGGTGGGGGGCCCAGCCATGAGGCGAGAGGCCACTTCTCATGCCCCCCCCCCTTCGCCCCCACCCAGATCTTTGGCCTGGCCTGGAGTCCAGATGGGCAGCAGCTGGCCACTGTCTGCAAGGACGGGCGCGTGCGCGTCTATGATCCCCGGAGTGGCCCCGAACCTCTGCAGGTGAGCAAGTGTGGGCTGGGGGCAGCCCTCAGACCCACCTTGGGCCTCACATACTGTACCCCAACAGGAAGGCCCAGGGCCTGAGGGGAGCCGCGGAGCCCGCATTGTCTGGGTGTGTGATGGCCACTGTCTGTTGGTATCCGGCTTTGACAGGTGAGGGCTCAGGAACCACTATCCCCATCCTCTGGCTTCGGCAGCCACCTGGGTCCCCCTTCTCCAAACACACACATCTCACTTATTTGAATGGATGGATGGATATGTGGGTGGGTGGGTGGGTGGATGGATGGATATGTTGATGGGTGGATGGATGGTTGGATGGATGGTTGGATGAGTGGGTGGATGGATACATGGGTGGGTAGATGGATATGTGGGTGGGTGGATGGATGGTTGGATGAGTGGGTGGATGGATACATGGGTGGGTAGATGGATATGTGGGTGGGTGGATGGGTACATGAATAAATAGATGGATACATGGATGGATGGGTGGATGGATGGATGGATGGAGGATGGGTAGGTAGATGGGGAGGATGGATGGATGGAGAATAGATCGATGGATGATGGGTGGGTGGGTGGATGAATGGGTAGATGAAAGATGGATGGACGGAGGATGGGTGGGTGGGTGGGTGAATAGATGATGGATGGGTGGGAGGGAGGTAGGGAGGGGGAATGAGTCACCTGGGGACTCAGAGGGTTGAGAGTCAAGCCTGGTGGGGAGCCAGGTGAGGTGCAGCAAATGCAGAACCAGGACGACTGGAGTGACCTGAGAGGCATTTGGTTCATCTGAGGAGGGATCAGGGAGGGCCTCCTGAAAGAGGTGTCACCTGGCCTGGGTGGGTAGTCACCAGAGACCTCAGAAAAGGCAGTTTGAGGGCTGGGATGCTGAGCCAGCCTGGCTGGAGCAGAGGGCGAAAAGCAGAAAGTGGGGAGAGAAGTCCTGAAGGCTGGGCAACGCCTTGAAGACAGACTGCAGATGCCACAGGGGACCGTGCTGAGGAGGGGCAGCTGGCCAGGCAGGGAGTTCTGAGGGCCAGACTAGGGGCGGGGGCCTCTCCCAGGGTCCATGGGCCCTCAGGCCGCCTCCAGACAGTATCAGGGTCCTTGGAGTCTTTGCCCTGCCCCAGGCCCCTCCAGCTCTAAGGACCTGCCTCTGTCCCCCTTGCAGCCGCAGTGAGCGCCAGCTGCTGCTGTATGCACCCGAGGCCCTGGCGGGGGGCCCCTTGGCCGTGCTGGGCCTGGACGTGGCTCCCTCGACACTGTTGCCCAGCTACGACCCGGATACGGGCCTGGTGCTCCTCACGGGCAAGGTGGGCTGGGGTGAGCAGGTGGGGTGGTGGGCAAGTGAGAGAGGAGGTGGGAGGAAGGTGGGGGTCTGGGAGGGTTAGCTGGCCACCCTCCTCTTACTTCTCCCTCCAGGGTGACACCCGCGTGTTCTTGTATGAGCTGCTCCCTGAGGCCCCTTTCTTCTTGGAATGTAACAGCTTCACATCACCAGACCCCCATAAGGTGAGCCCCTCACACGGCCCCCAACTCTGGGGGCCTGCTCCCGCCACCACAGATGTATCCTCATGGTGGGTTCCCTGGATGGGAGGCAGGGCTCCCTTGCCCTCTGGTGGCCATTTGGGGAAGTGCAGGCATCTGTGAGGTCAGTGGGTCATTGACCTGGGCCTGCCTGGGACTAGAAGGACCCTGCTAAGGTTAGGGCTAGGGGTGGGCTGCAGCCAGTCCCTAGCAGCTGGTGACATTTCCAGGAATTTTGCAAGCCAGTTGTTAAACTCAATCATTATTAAAAATTAAATTTATAAACCTACCATTTGCCATTGAGTTGACTCCGACTCATGGCAACCAACCCCATGTATCTCAGAGTAGAACCGTGTTCCCTAGAATTTTCAACAGCTGATTTTTTGGAGTTAGGTCAGCAGGCCTTTCTTCCAAAGTACCTCTGGGTGTACTCAAATCTTGGACCATTCACTTTGATGTTTGTACCACTCAGGGACCCCCTATGTAAGCTGAAAGTTAAATACTCAAAGGTAGTAAATACTCAAAGTTCATCACTTTCTGATTATTGTACTGGGTTCTACTATTATCTGTGCTCTTGAGATTATTTGCGTCTATTGTATCTGTGTGGTGGATACACCACACGATTATGTACAACTGCAGATCTCTTTCCATTCTGCCTGTTAGCTTGAAATCGGCCATGGTGGGAGTATTTACACCATGGAAATAGGCAAAGGCTACAAATCAGGACTTTTTTCCTCCGGAGACCCATGGTTGCACAATTAACCAGCACGCCACTAACTAGGGACAGGCGTGGTCCTGGTGGTCCTAGGAGAGGAAGACTGGCCCCCTGAGGCCCCTGTGTGCCCAGCCAGGAGCCCCACGTCCAGCTCTGCCTCTGACTTCCCTGTTTCCCTCAGGGCTTCGTCCTCCTGCCCAAGACAGAGTGTGACGTGCGGGAAGTGGAGTTTGCCCGATGCTTGAGGCTCCGCCAGACCTCCCTGGAGCCCGTGGCCTTTCGACTGCCCCGAGTCAGGGTGAGGTTGGGGGCCAAGGACTCCCGTGCTCAGCCTCCCTCCCCAGCACCTGTTGGGGGCTTTAGGCCTGGCCTCATCCCCAAATTTCCCCACTTATTGCTCTTTGGGGATACCTGCCTCCTTATTCGGCTGAGATTCTAGAACCCCTGGACTGCCAGCAGGGTCCCAGGTCTCTCCACACCCCCTCCCAGTGGATGCCTTTGCACCCCGGGCCCCTGGGCAGTGCCCCGGGCAGTGGCTTAGAATGACCCCTTCCGCCTTCCCTGCAGAAAGAGTTCTTCCAGGATGACGTGTTCCCAGACACAGCCGTGAGCTGGGAGCCTGTGCTCAGTGCTGAGGCCTGGCTGGGAGGTGCTAATGGGCAGCCCCGGCTCCTCTGTCTACAGCCCCCCGGCATGACCCCAGGTGGGATGAGGGACTAGGTGGCGGGGGGAGGAAGCAGGGGAATTGGTGGGCATGGAGGAAGGGGCAGAAGGCCCAAGTCTAATTTCCCATCTCTGCTGGCACACAGAAACTTCTGATACTCCCAAGGATGGTGGAGGGGAGGGGGGTGGGTGTTCCAGGGGCAGCGTCTGAGCCCCTGGAGGGCAGGGGGGTGGTCTGTATTTCCATCACGAGTCCCTACCCCCTACACACACACCCTGGTGCCCAGGACAGGCCTTCTGAACAGTGGGTCCCATCGCTGCCATGGAATCCCCTAGGGCTGGATCCTAAGGTTTGGGCAAGAAGCCCCACCCAGGGTGCTCTCTGATGCCTGGCCTTGCCTTGCCCCAGTAAGCCAGGCCCCACGTGAGGCCCCTGCCCGGCGAGCCCCCTCCTCAGCACTCTACCTGGAAGAGAAGTCAGACCAGCAAAAAAAGGAAGAGGTAGGTGTGGGAGTGGGCCGCCAGTGAGGAAGGGGTGGTGTCCAGTCCTCTACCCCCTTCTCAGCCCAGAGCTTGATCCAGACACCTTCCAGAGCTCTGAATGCTGGCCCACTGCTGCCCACGCAGCACGAGGCCCTGAGGCCACATAAGGGCCATGAGGGTCCTGCTCTGTCCAGGCTTAACCGAGCAAGCCAGAGGTTTGAACCCAAGTGCATTGGGCACCCTGAGTTTGCAGGCAGTGAGTCGAGACAGCCTCCCTGCGCCTGTGCTTCTGGTGCATCGTGTGTCTGTGTCTCTGTGTCTGTGACCACCACCACCCCAAATCTCTGTCTCTATCCTTTTCCATGAAAACCCACCAGCTTTGTTAGGGTTCTAACTTCACAGTATTGTTGCGTGTAAACTGTGGGGACTGACATTCCTGGAGTCGGAGAGGCCTATTCCTTCCTAACTTTCCTCTTGTCCACCCTCCCAGCTGCTGAACGCCATGGTGGCAAAGCTAGGGAACCGGGAAGACCCACTCCCACAGGACTCCTTTGAGGGTGTGGACGAGGACGAGTGGGTGAGTGGACAGATGAGCCCCCGCACCATGGTGCCTCCCCACCCCTGCAGGGTGCTCCACCTCCTCCAGCATCACCACCCTCCCTCCCTCCAGCATCACCATCCCGCAGGGTGCTCCACCTCCTCCAGCATCACCACCCTCCCTCCTGACCCTTGCAGGTTCTTCTCCTCCAGCATCACCTCCCGCCCTCCCTCCAGCATCACCATCCTGCAGGGTGCTCCACCGCCCTCCCATGTCTCTCTTTATCCCCCCCAGGACTAGCCTACACACCATTCGCCTCCAGCCTCACCTGCCGCTGCCTCGTCCTAGACCACCTGGGGCTCCTGCACACCTCATGTCTCATCCTCAGACTGGAAGATGCCTCTTTGGCCCCAGCACACCTCATCCCCAGAAGCCTGGCTTCCTTCAGGCCTTGGGCCCTTCCATGGCCTCTCAGCCCCTCAGCCACTTCTGGGGATTGTCTGCACCGCTGCTTTCTCTGGGACCAGCTGCTTCTCCTCGGCTGCCTGCTAGCATGTGGAGCCAGGGGGGAACAAAGGAGTCCATAAGCATGTCACTGGGCAGGCCCTGGGCCCCACCTCCCCTGCTGACCTGGGCCGGTCCTGGGCTGCCCTTGCCCAGCACCTTCAGCTCCTACACGCCAACTGATCTTGCCTGCTGCCCCAGTTCTGGTCAAGGGCCTTGGGGGCCAGCCCCCCGCCAGGCCGTTTAGTGCAGCACCAGCCTCAGGGGCCTGGGACCAGCTGCCCCTGCTCCCCAGGCTTGAAGCCAGGAGAAGGGGGCACCCCAGAGCTGATGGCCCTGTTACAGGGGTGTGAGCCCCACGGGCATGGGCCTGCACACACCGGGATGTCCTCAGCAATTAAAGTTTTCTAAGCTGGCCACCTCTGGTGCTGCTCACTCTCTGTGCTGGCTGGGAAGAGGACAGGGACGGGACTATGGGCAGGGCAGTTTGGCCCTGGGCTTCCCCATCCCAGACCTCACTTTGCTCATAAGGCCTTGTCAGCTGCATGCTCCTGGAGAGTTCATTCATTCATTCCACCCAGGTATTGTCTCAGTCAGAGTTCTCCAGGGAAACACAACCAGTAGGAGATAGATAAGTAAAAAGACATTGAAAGGCACCCTGGTGGCGCAGTGGTTATATGCTCAGCTGCTAACTGAAACGTCACCGGTTTGAACCCACCAGCGGCTCCTCCGGAGAAAGATGTGGCAGTCAGCTTCCGTAACGATTAGAGCCTTGGAAACCCTGTGGGGGCAGGTCTACACTGTCGTATAGGGTCGCTGTGGGTCGGAATCGATTAGACAGGCGATGGGTACTCTATTATGTCGGTAGGGGGTTGTATGTTTTAGCCTCAAATATTTTGGCAAAATCAAGGGAAGAAACTCTCACGTTTGACCGATGCATTTCCCTGCTCCTAGCGCCCGACGTCCTGGGGAAGCTCCCGTCGCCCGCTTTCAGTTGTCCTGTGTGGCGGGTCTGCGGCAGGCTCCACCCCCATCGTGTTACGTCACTGCCTGTGCGGCGCCTCTAGGAAGACAGGCGTGGCGCGCATGCCCGGCGCGGCCTTGCGCACGCGTTCTCCGATCCTCCTTTGACCTCTGACCCGGCGGGCGCACTTGAGCCGGGGCCGCGGGGCCACGGAAGCCGGATCCGGCTTCCCGAGGCAGAGCGGTCGCCATGGTGAGGCCTGAACCGGGCGCTGCCCGCGGGTGGGAGGCCGTTTCTGGACCAGGGTAGGGGACAGCGAGCCACAGGCCAGGCTGCGGGCGACGCCCGCCCCATGCGCAGCACCGGGAAGCGGGACTTGGGGCGGTTTTTGCGATCGATCCCGGGCCGGCCGCGCCGCATCGCACCCGAGGGACCGGTCGGGGAAGGTGCCTGGCATGAAGGCAGGGCGGGCTTGGCTGGCCGGGAAATACCCAGCAAAGTTGGTCGCCTCCGTGCGCCGGTGTGCCAGCCCCTGTGCGAGCAGCCGCGGGCACCCAAAGGGGGACAGATGTGGCCCGTGGGTACCTGCTCGCGCCCGGAGCGCCTCAGCTCTGCAGAGTGGGCACCGTCTCTCTGTTAGGACCTCCGTTCGCAAGCTGACGAAAGGGGTTCGGAGTATTTCCCGAGAAGTGGCAGAACTGAGACTCGAACCAGGCCCAGCGGCACCGACACTTGAGCGTTTCTACCACACCGTTGGCGCCTAGAGCCGTCCACAGACGTGGGCCACCGGCTGCGCCTGGATCCCAGGGGAACCTTTAAAATACAGGTTCTTGAGACCTATCCCTGGAGGTTCCATAAATGTAGATGTTTATATAAGTAAATATGTTCTTAGATTTGTATATTCCCAAGTGATTCTGACCCAGCCGTTTTGGGGAGCCACTGCATCAATTATAGGCCACCCATTAATTAACAATAATAGGGTAATACTAATAGCTGACACCAACAGCGTACAGGTGCCAGGCTCTGGGCCGAGGGTTTCATATAATTTCTCTCATTTAGTCCTCATGGAGTAAACCAGTTGCTGTTCAGTCGACTACAGTTCATAGTGACTCGTGTGCCTCAGCGTGTTTTCAGTGGCTGATTTTTTTAGTAGATCGCCAGGCCTTTCTTCCAGGGTACCTCTGGGTGGACCCAAATCTCCAACGTTTTGGTTAACAACCATAGCCTTGCCTTTTCCGGACATTTCATATGTGTAAATAGAAGCATACAGCCAAGTGTGTTAGCTGTTTGCACCACCCAGGGACTCCTCTTGTGAGTAGGTACTGTCCTTGTCCCCGTTTTACACATAAGGAATCTGAAGCCCAGGGTGTCTAGATAACTCATCCAGGGTCACACGGCTCGCAGGTGTCAGAGGCCAATTTTCAGCCCAGATCTTTCTGTGTCCTGGTATGTCACTTTTACCACCACATTGTCACTGCCTTGTAATGGCCACTACCATTTACTGAGGAACTGAGATGAACCCTCACTGAACTGGGTCCTTCAGATATCTTTCCTCATTTAACTCTGAGCAACCCTCAGGCCTTGAGTAAAATGTGGCTCTGAAGGAGAGTCCATAAAATAGAACCATCTGTAAATAAGAAAAGAAAGACAGCTCTATGAGAAGGGATAAATGGGTGAAGTCTGGGAAGGTTTCACAAGGGGCTGACTTATTGAGTAAGCCCTGAAGGATGTTGGGTTGACAGGCAGAGTATCGGAGCAGGAGCGAGGACACTGAAGCTGGAGGAACTCAGAGCAGCAGACCGTGAGAGTGAAGGAGGCGTGAGCTGGTCTAGGAGTAGATGATGTGCCTGCCTTGTGGGGAGAGGTGACAGAAGAAAAAAACCGGAAGTAGGTTGGGGCCAAATCGAGAGCTTTTGAATGCAGGCAGCAGTGGAGGGTGTGTGTGTCTGTGTGTGTGTGTCTGTGTGTATCTGTGTATCTGTGTATCTGTGTGTGTGCGTTGGGGGCAGGGGGGATGGCCAGGGCCCTGCTTCAGCAAGGAGGTGGGCAGCATTTAGAAACCCTGCCCAGGGCCACGGAGCCTATGGAACTCCAGCTGTGGCAAAGCTCGGCTGGCGGTGACCTGGTTCAGTGCTGATACCTGGACAGCTGCATTCCTCCTCATGCATATCGTGTACTTGCTGCACAGCCCCTGACCAGGCCCGGGAATCCCGTCACAGTGTGGTCCTGGCCTCCCTCCTGCCTAGTGAGGTGCCAGCAGCTGTTTTCAGGGCCCTGGGTGAACAGAGCCCCCGCCTATCTCAGAATGTCCTTGAGAAGGGGTGCTGCTCAGTGGTGGTGCCTGCCCACCCCCGAGGGCGGGAACTGGGCTTTGAAGGGAGCGCTGCACGTTGTTCTGTCTGAAAGCTAGGCTCCTTTTTTGATACGCTGGGCACAGGATAAGCCACATTCCCGAGCACCCACCCTCACCCCCAAAGTCTGGGGTCCTTTGCTGCTGTGGCAGGCTTCAGTCTTGCATTGGACTATGTGGAGATCTGTGGAAACAAGTTCAATGCTGCATTACTGCTCAGATGAGAAAGCCTATGTGGGTCCCAGGGTTGGAGTCCCATGCCCCTGACCTCTGCTTCCTGACCGTGGCGCCTGAAGTTTGATACCAAATCAACTGCTTGCTCTTGCCTGGGGCTTTCTGCCTGAGTGTTGGTCTGTCAGTGGACTATGAGGTGTTTGGGGCTTTCTGGAAGAGGCCTCAGCTAGTGGCTGCCTTAATCACCTGTGGTCTCCGCTCAGCCAACTTAGCTGTGGCTTGCAGAGCTCTGCTCTCTGTGCAGTCTGCAGCTCCCAACACAGTCCTGACCTGTGACTGGCGCTCCGTGTGCATCTGGGTCCTGAATAAGTGGATGAGAGGGCCACCTGCACTGCCGGTCTCCAGACCCTTAAACCCCAAACAGTATCTTGTCCAGAAGCAAAGACACTGTTGAGCTCCTGCTCTGGTCCTGGCACTGCCTGTCTGTCCACTTTGTTTTACAGGCATTGCCTCATGAGGGTCTTCTAGCCCTGCTGTGTTTTTGTTGGTGTTAGCTGCGTTCGAGTCGGGTCATGCCGACCCTATGTACAACAGAACAAAACCCTGCCCGGTCCTGAGCCTTCCTCATAATCGTTGTTCTGCTTGAGCCCATTGTTGCAGCCAGTGTATCAGTCCATCTTGTTGAGAGTTTTCCTCCTTTTCGCTGACCCTCTGCTTTACCAAGCATGATATCCTTCTCCAGGGACTGCTCCCTCCTGATAACATGTCCAAAGTATATGAGACGAAACCTTGCCATTGTTGCTTCTGAGGAGCATCCTGGCTGTACTTCTTCCAAAACAGATATGGTTGTTCTTTTGGCAGTCCATGGTATATTCAATATTCTTCACCAACACCGTAATTCAAAGGCATCAATTCTTCTTCAGTCTTCCTTATTAATTATCCAGCTTTCACATGGATATGAGACGATTGAAAACATCATGGCTTGGGTCAGGCGCACCTTAGTCCTTAAAGTGACATCTTCGCTTTTTAACACTTTAAAGAGGTCTT